AACTTGTTTTCGACTCATTTATGATTTTCAAAAAGGAAATATTATCTCACCCCAAATCAATTTCGATTTAAAAAATTATTTTTATTGGATTAGCGAGTCAAAACTTGTCAGATACGATATGCTTTACCAGCTTTACTTCCACTGACTCCATTTCTTAAAAAAATTATCTTATTGAAAAAAAAAAACAGCATAAACAAAAATGGGGGGGGGGGAATGGATGAAAAAAAAGAAAGCCAAAAAAGGGTATCACATGGATACTTTTATTTTCCATTTATCTTTCCAAAATTGATAAGAAATACTAAAATACAAAAAAATTGAAAGGTAAAACAATGAAAAAAAAAAAGAAATGCTCAAGAAAAAAAAAAAAAAAAGGCCAAACAGGTTTGGTTGAGATAGGTTTATGCTCACCCGACTCCGACCTAACCTTTTAATACTTCAACATAACTTTAATTTCAACCTAACATCAAGTTATTATTTTTATACTTGATTCCAAATCGACACCCAAATCTATAACTTGCAATTGATCTGAATTAATTCAATGGTTTTAAATCAGTATAATATTCATAAAAAAATATTATTTTTAATATAAATATATCTTAATTAACTACAAATATAATGCTTTATTGAATTAAGATATTAAATAATAATTTTATTAATATAAATCTATATAAAAATAAAAATAAATATAATAAACATAAAATATCAATTTTTTTATATATACTTGAGGGGCAAAACAACTTGAAACCTACATCAAACTTGAATCAAATTTTTTTTTAAAAAAAAATCTCAACTTAATCTTGAATTTTTTAAAAAATGCACCTACTGGTTCAAGGCAAATTTAAGCACATTGGATTTGACATTCCTACCTCTATTGACTTTGTTCTTATAAAATTTATTTAATTAAAAAAGTCAACACTAAAAACAAAACAAAGGAAATAGTAAAAAAAAGAAAAGAAAATGGATTTGAGATGTCATATTGATTTATTAAATTATGATATTAAATAATAATTTTATTAATATAATACAAATAAAATTAAATAAATAATAAAACATAATTTATATATGCTTGGACAAAATGAAACATTTTAAACTCGTATTTGATTTGACATTTGATTTTTGAAAAAAAAAAATCTCAATCCAATCCCAAATAAAAAAATGCACCAATTGGATCCATACAAATTGAAAACCATCGAATACAGGGTTGTTTAGTCATATATATGTACATTAACATTTATCTTTAAAAATTTATTTCTTAGTTTCTTTTAATGCAAAATTTATTTAATTAAAAAATAAAAAAAGCAAAAGACAAAGAAAAAATGAAATAGCATGTTATATATACACATTCATTGGTTATTTTTCAAAAGAATGATTTAATTAAAAAATAAAAAAAATAAAAAACTAAAAAAAAAGAGAGAAAAAATTAAAAGCAAAAACAAAATAAAAAATGGGAAAAAGTTGAGTTGACACCCAACATTAGTAATGATAAGCTTCTCTTGAAAATTTATATCATATATTTAAAAAAAAACAAAAAGATAAAAATCTAAAAAAAAATCAAATTTAGATGTGTCATCGATATCTTTACTAATATCCTTATCTTTAAAATTATTAGATTTTAAAAAATAATATATTTTTAATAATAATATCAAATTGACACATGTGAAAAAATCTTAAAATATTTTTAAAAATATTTATTAAATATAAAAAATAAATAAATAAATTAAAAATGAAAAGAAAAAACTAAGTGGCTTGACACGTGACATACCTTTGACATCAAGTGGATCTAAAAAAAAAGTAATATCTAAAGAATATTTATTGAATATATAAAAAATTAGAAAAAAAAAGAAAAAGAAAAAAATACATGAGATATTCTTGGTATAAAATAGGTCTCACAAAAAAATTTTAAAATCCCAAAAAAGTTTTATTAAATTTTTTATAAAAAGAAAAACAAATAAAAAGTAAACATAAAAAATAAAAGCAAAAAAAAATGAAATTTAGTATTATCAGGTCCCACACACTAAAAAGTAAAATATTTTTAAAATATTTATTTTTTTGTATTTTTAAAAAAATAAGTTAAATATTAAAACGGAAAAAGGGAAAAAAGAAAAACCATTTAAAAAAAGTAAAATTATAAAATCTTTATCAAATATATAAAATTTTAGAAAAAAAGAAAAAAAAAAAACAAACACGTGACACGCCCTTGGTATCCAATTAGTCAAAAAAATTTATTAATGTTTTTTAAAAAATAAAAGAATAGAAAAGTAATGAAGGGAAAAAAGTAAAAAAGAAAAAGTTTATTATAAGTGAATCCTACACAAAAATTAAAACTTTTTAAAAATATTTATTTATTTTTAGTAATTTTTAGAAAAATTAATTAAATATTAAAAAATGGAAAATAAAAATAATTAAATATTTATAAAATCTTTAAAAATTTTGAAAAAAAATAAAAAATGGAAAAAAAAACTTATAAAAATAAGAAAAGAAAAATACGAAGCATCACGTGACACTTTTAAAGTGAAATATCGTGACTGTACATTAGCAAGATTTATTTATTAAAGCATATAAAATTTTAGAAAAGGAAAAAGTAAAAAAATACATATGTGGCATAACTTTAGTATGTATAAAAAAATTAAAATAGAAAAACAATAAAATAGAAAAGTAAAAGAAGGGTAAAAAAATAAAAAAAAATTTTGACATAAGTGGATCTTAAAAAATAAAAATCTTTTAAAAATTATTTATTTATTGTGATAATTTTTAAAATTTTAATTAAATATTAAAAATATAAAAATATAAAAAATTAAATATTTATAAAATTTTTAAAAATATTTATAAAATTTTAAAAACTTTGACAAAAATTAAAAAATATGAAAAAACAAACTTTAGAAAAAACAAAAAAGAAAAAAGAAAAAAAAATGTGACAGCATCATGCGACACGTTTAAGATGAAGATTGTGACCGTACATTAGCAAGATTTATATTATAGATAGATAGAGATGGATGGAGTAATTTTCTTGTTACATCAAATCTGATACTTTCACTGTCAATTTCAGAAGCTACTTTTTAATTATGAATTTCTATTTCAAATGAGATGGAGGAAGTAACATCCACTTAGCTGGGCGTACGTAGTTATTTGTTACATGACAATTGATAACATCCAACGAATGCGAAGAAGCTGATAGAGAGGTTGAAAGAAGAAAAGAAAAGAACAAGAGGGTAAAAAGCAAAGAGGTAAAACAAGGGAGTGTAGTAGCTATTGAGTAGTGAGGTCAATCGTTCTAAACAGTATCACCTGAGATGAAAGAGATTGGCTCGGTTATCTACGTGAATTGTAGTAGCTGCAGTAAGTAATTCAAGACCACGTGAATTGCTGACAAGTAAAGAATGAAACCCTTTCACCTGTTCGACTGGCGACTACGTATGGTCACGTGGCCGTGGCCGTAGAAGAAGAAGAGCCTTTGACCTTCACTTCCCACTCCAACCTGAAATCCCACCTTTCATCCAATCTTTGTATTCGTATGCTAAACCCAAACTTCAAACTTACACAACAACTGAACCAAAAAAGAAAAGAAATTCGCGACACCATCTCCATGACCCATGTGAACCTTTGTCCATGGCTACTGATCTTATCATGTGGCATTGAAGCTTTTCAAATTTTGATTGTTGTCTTTGTCTTGTAGCTCCATTTCTCTGCCACAATCTGTTCCAATCAGCTTTGGTGATGAACCTGGGGTTTCGACACGTGGACCACGTAATGCTTTTCACGTCTCTCATTTATCCAGCCACTCTTTGGTGCCGGTTTGGATTTGGGTTGTTTTTTTTTTTTTCTTTTTTTTGTTTGCCAACGCAGTTCAACCTCGTATTGTTGGTGTCAAAAAATACTGACAGTTTTAACTGTGTTGACCTATTCCATGCAAGACAAATTTATATTCTGAATGTAATCAGACACAAGATCGAAATGAATCATATCTCCATGTTTCAGGATCAGCTCCAGCTGTTTGTTGTTTTCCATTTTCAGGAAGCCTCCCTGACCCCGGTTTTTATTTATAATGTTGAGTTAAAAACTATACCTCAGGGGGTAATTTGGATAATGTAATTTTGTTCAACTGTGAGATATTTCGATTACTCAGGTTGTATACTTGTATTATATATTTGTTTGTCATAAATTAAAGACTGACAAAGATACGAGTGAAGAAGGCCCATAACTCTAAAATCTAAGAAAAGAATGCATAACCAGGAGTTCTTTACCCTTTCCCAAGTGTAGCTGTTGCAGTAACCAAGAATGTGTTTGACTGATGAATAAGGCGAAGACGAAGAGAACGATAAGTCAGTGGTCAAAAATTGGTCGTGCGTGTGAGGGATGGAGTATACCTTTTGAGCTTATCAATGCCACACGGTTGGCCACTTCGACCCTTCCCATTTTTTTTTTAATCAGAATTTATTTTGGAACCCAATAAAAAGTTGAAATTAAAAGTACAAATAGCTAGAAACCATCACTACCATTTGCAAGTGGTAATTCGACGGGTTTGGGTGGTTTCCATTTGTTTTTTTTATTTAAGTTGTATTCAATTAGAATTAATTTTTGATACGAGTTCCAAAAGATTTAGAATTTGATTGTACGAATTTAAATTATTTTAAATTTGAATTATTTATTATTCATTATCAAATCAAAGTGAATTTGAATTCCTTAAGTAATGAGTTTAAATGAGTTTGAGTGTTTAAGTATGATAAATTTATGAATATAATCAAATTTTTTTTTTTAAATATTTAATATATATAAATAAATAATAAAAATATAATATTTAATATTTATATTTACAATTTTACTGACTTGAACTCAAGTTGTTTGAATAAATTATGAGATGAATTTAAATATAAAAAATAAAACATGGTCTAGTTTAGTTTGAAGTCTCAAATTTTAAAATCGAACTAACGGCAGGTTTTGGTAATGTATTCACTTGCTTGGTTCAATTATACTACTAATTAGGGAAGTCATCGGCAAAACCTTTTTTTTTTTTTATGATTTTCTCGTTAGCGAGGGCAAGAGTTCGAATTTGCCCGCAACATAATTAAGCTGGTTAAAAATTGGCAAAAATATTTTTGTTTTGCTTTAGCTGTGTAAAGGAAGAACAAACAGATCCAACTAGAAAATTCAGGTGTCCATCTCAAGCCATTTTTCATACAAATAGAACGAGCCAAGCTATAGTTAAAATCTTAACAACATGAAGCCAAGAAGCAACATGAAACACAAAAGAATAAGAATATGATATATTAGCCTTTTACAAATGAATATCATCTATTCACTCATTAGGACCCGTCAAAAGTCTCACCATAATCTGCAAGACGTTCACCTTCATTTGCAAGGACAAAATATATTCAGCCGTCTCCCTTAAAAGCCCATCCAAGCCCATGGACTCGCTGTTCGGAATTAGCTTCTTCAGGGTTTTTACCTTCTCTTCAATATGGTTCACGGGCCTTCTAGAACCTTCTTGACGTGCCCTCAGCTTCATCAAAATACTTCTGGGCCTAACATGCCTTGCTTTTTTCCTGGTGCTGCTGATTCTCTGCTTCTTCACTTTCATCCTTCTCTTGGCCTGCGCTTCTAAAAGTATGCTCCACGGAGAACCATTGGATACTGACATTTCCTCATTGCTATGGATACCATTCGAATCAAATGAAAGGAGGGGAAGTGGAGACATTCCCATGATTCAAAATTCTTTCAAACCTTTGTTGCCTAGACAAAGACCTTGTACAGCAGCAACGGCGGCATTGGGAGCTTTTATATGATTCCTTGGGGGTACTGGGTTGGTGGGCAATCATGATAATTCAAATAATTTAAGTGACAGCCCAAAAGGGTAGGGACAGGGGAACAATTTCATGGAAGGCTTCTAGGGAATGGGATAAATGAAAAGGGGATATCCAAGGGGGTGTTGCTTGATGCTTTGGGCATGTTCTCCAACTAAATGCACATGCAACCACATGATTCTACAACACCAGCATCCAACCCCAGACCTCCTCTCTAAACCACCACCTTTCATCACCCCTTATCTCATCAAAACACCCTGGATTATTCCTCCCCACTTTCCAAATTCAATGCATAGCTGGATAATGTGAATTGGGGTCCTTAATTTCTTCATTCCAGCTCAATCAACATTGGCATTCCACTTTATAGAAACTTCCAGCCTCCAGGCCGTTTCATGGTGGTTAGCCCGTGTTTCCAGACAGGAAACCTACGCTACGCATAAACTATATGAGGAATTTATGCGGCTGAAGATTAATGTAGTTTGTCAATATATGCGTTAACAAAAGTAGACATTTTAGATCCCAATGTTGGGATAATGTAGGCTTTCTTCTGACATTCATGAACCACATTTGCCATCACCATGATGATTGCTTTCTTGGGGAAGTATCTAAAGATCATGTTCGAACATGTTCTGATGAAAAAAGCACATATGAAAACTTGATCACGTACACAAAACTTAGGGACAAAGATGCATGCATCTATCACCGCCGCAGATCCTCTGGACGACATCCTCAATCTATTGAGGCTAAAATTTTGCCTTGTTTCCACACAAGTTACAGGAAAACTATTCAAGCTAGCTACAGCATTTAATTTTTTTCGAGCCATTAAAAATTTTAACCAAGAATTAACGTCTTTAGAAAATCATCAGGTAAATGAAAAAGAAAACCCTGAATGAAAAGGAATAATTTTAAACATCGACTTCCATGAAAGGCCTAAGATTGCATGGTTCTAAACATGAAATCCTGACTATATAGATTAAGACATGTTTCATTTTCGAATGAGTTTCTGGCAATGGTGGGCTTAATTTGCACTCAAAATTGAACTTAATGTGCCACATTATCTGATTAGGCAGCATACATTGTAGCATTTTCTCTTCTTGCCAGTTTTAAGTTACTAGAGACACGAATTCAAGACTTTCAGCTTTAGAGTCGACACTAATATCATTGAGCTACAGCTCATAGGACTCTTCCGGCTGTTAGCATGTTATCCAAATGCCTATGCGCATATAAATATATATATATATATATAAAATATATATATATATATATCTTTACAAATATATATATATGCTTTTTAATTTCCAGCCCCCCTCAATTTTTAATTACAAAACAAACAATTGTTATGACAGCTATGGCACATGGATGAATCCTTAGCCACATAACTATATATACATTGTTAATTGATTATCCGTAAAGCTTTGCTAAGTTAAAGCTATAATTGTGAACACATGATATGTTCTATGCGACGGCACCAGTTATTAACATGTGTTAGTATATTTTTTTAAGGTTTGCATAAATTACTGATTTTGATTTCTTAAATTTAAAATTCTCTTACTACAGTTTTGGTTCAAAATGAAATAAACATTTAAGGTTGTCAACATGATACAAGTAAACATGATCTTGTTTGGAAAACAGTACATATTGCTTGAATGCATGTTGATGTAAGTAGAGGAAAGGGAAAAAATTAAGGAACAAAATGAAAAATAGTACTAGTTTTTTATAAATCAAATTTTATACTATTTCATATAAAAAAATTTATATTATATTTTACTATTTTTATTAAAAAGGTAACTTTTTCATTTACGTTATTATAAAATTTTAACCAACAATCAAATTAACATCTTAATTGTATCTTTTGTTTAATCGGCAAGAATTTTTGGATTTTGTCTAATATATTTCTCCTTCGAATCGATCCAAATAAATTTTTTATGCAGTCTAAATCAGGGATGGCAACGGGTCGGGTCGGGCGGGTTTTTGCTCGCCCCGAACCCGACCCGATTTTAAATATACAATACCCGTACCCCGTACCCGACCCGAAATTTTTTTATTTTTAATACCCGAACCCGACCCGACCCGACAGTGTATAAATCAAATCCGACCCGACCGACCCGAAATTAATAAAATATTATTTTAAATATAATATAAAATTAAATATATATAAAATATATATAATTAAATGTAAAATTTAAAAAATAATTAAAAAAATAAATTTTTTATATATCGGGTCGGGTAGGGTCGGGTTTGCTTAAAACCCGACCCCGACCCGACCCCGAAATTTTTTTGACTCTACCCGACCCGACCCGACCCGATACCCGATTTTTCAAAAAAAAAAAAACCGACCCTAAGGGGTCGGGTCGGGTCGAAACCCGACGGGTTCGGGTGATTTTGCCCACCCTAGTCTAAATCAATTTATCTGCTTATACTTTTGAAACAAAGTAAAAATTGACTACTTATATTAAAGAGAAACCGTGACGATTACTTAGGATTAGCAAACTGTTGGCATGACAAGAAGGACCCAAGTAGACCAACTCCATGCAGAAAATGATCGCCTACAGAAGAGAACTCAAACGATACTGGTGGGCTTTCTTTGGTCCATGAAAGTTGTTTTCATCCTCTTAGATTTTATCATTTATATTCCCAGACGAAGCGAAGGTGTGGCGGCCACTGCCATGCATGTTCTCCATGTGCCTTCATTTAAAAGTAGAGAGAAGATGCATTTGTAGAGGTAAAAGTATACAGATTATATAATTTATTTTTAAAAAATAATATTTAACAGATTTAAAATTGAAATTTTAACACATAAAAACTCTTTTTATGTTAAATTGTGATATCCTTTACATAAAACAATAATGTGTGTGTTGGGACTAAAATTAATTTGGGTTAAGGCAATTAATTATAAGTCTAATATAAAATTAATCCAACAAAAGTGATTAGATAATTGGGTTTTGGTTAGTTAATTAATTAAACATGAATCTTAGAGAATAATCCATCAGAGATATTTGATAAAAACCCAAATGAAAGGGCTGATTGATAAAAGCTTGAAGAATTTGTAGCTTATAAAGTCCATACGTGTTCCAAGACCAACAAAACGATTGACTGAATTATAGTTCATGATCGGCCTTGGGGCTGGGCTGAGGGAAGCCTTTCTAACGTTGGTAGAATGCAATTTCACAGGGCAAGAGGCCTCCAAAGTAAAACCACACAGCCCCTTTTCTGCATCAATGTCTCGTTGCATTCTTAATTATATAACCCTTCTCTCCCCAGTCACCGCCCCACGAGTTCTATACTATCCTTTACTTTGTCCCACTTAGGTTTGCTCCATATCCTACCACTGCCACCCCATGGTTCAGCTCAGTGCCACAGTCTCCACTGAATACCCCCTGCAACAAATTTTGCAGTTATGTGGAATATAATAGTTGCTTATTAGGCATTTTCAATGCATCGGCTTCTGCTTTTGCATTTTCATTTTGCATGCCTAAAAGGACACCAAACTGCATTTATTTATCAGTTTAATGGATTGAAAATTTAATTACCTCCGAGTAGAATTGGAAATCCTTGCCACCTGCAGCATCTACGGCAATAGACACAGGTTGGTTTGCAACAGCTTTCATTAGAGCTTTCTCATCTTTTTTCTGGGTAGAATTTGCGTGACTAAGATCTCAAGAATATGAATTTCTAATAAATTGCTACCTATTGAGAAAATTAGCAGTAAAACAACTTACCTTTTGGTTATATCTACTTCTACTTGACTTTATACATATCCATAACATGCATGTTTTATCAGGTTAAGTAGCAGGACAAGTAAAATTTTAGTATTTAGTGTTCATATCCTTTTCCTTTTTTTTTTCCCTACATAAAATAAACATAAAAAGGAATAAACTAAAAAAGGATGAAGGCCAAAGGTTTTCAATTAATACAGCTGATCGATTGATTATATTCTATATCCTAACTAACGTACCAACGGCCCCTATAGCTCAGTGGTAGAGCGTCAGTCTTGTAAACTGAAGGTCCGTAGTTCGATCCTGCGTGGGGGCATTTACGCTTTATATGTTCATTTTGTTCAGGTGCGTTGAAGTTTTAGGCCCGTGATAGGACCCGAAACCAAATTCAAGTCCAATGGCCTTTTAGTCATTTTCTATGAATATAGGGTTTCCAGCCCTCGGCCACATCCACCGGCATAAAACTCCATCAGATCTGTTTTCAAAGTTCTCGAGGGATGTTCATGTTTCCAAGCATGATTTAATTATTTTTAGCCAGGTTTAAACAGCGACGTGCATTTGACGTTAATCGATGAAGTTTAAAATGATATAATATTAAATTTAAATTTAAGTTTAATTTAAAATTTAAAATTTAAAATAAAAATTAAATTTGATCAAATTTATTTTTTTAATTTAAGTTTGACTAAATATAAAAATGGAGTTATTTGAATATTTTGATTAAAGTTGATTAATATATAAATAATAAATTTAATTCTTGTATTTGATAAATTTTTAATTATATATGCTCGAGTTTAAACTCGATTAGTTATGTCTAAGCTTAAATTTTAAATATTTTATTAATTAAAATAATAAAAATATATTTAAATATAAAAATTCAATTAAATTCACGAACTACTTAAATTAGATATAAAAATATTCAAACTTTACTCAATCGATAATAATAATCGAATCAAATTTAAATTTTATTTTAATCGAATTCGAATAATTTACGAATATTAATATATCATTTATACTCTTACTTACAATACACTACTTGTCATTTGATTTGAATATTTATGATTATGCTGAAATTAAAATTTTAATATTTTATTATTAATATTTTATCGTTAAATCACAAATTATTAATTATATTTATGTATATATATTTTCATATCTACAGTTTTTTTCCTAAAATAGTAGTATCAGTGTTTTTGGCTTTTTTTTTTTTTTTTCATGTTTTAAATTCTGAATTGAAGAATTCATTAACTAAAAAATAAAGTAAAATACTCGCCAAAAAAGGCGTTTGTATATAATTCGAAAACACTACTCATAAATAATCATTTTTAAAAAATTAAGACAAAACACGGCAGGATACGTTAATTAAGACAATAATAAATATATATTAATATGTATATATATATATATTATATAAATTTATTAATTTTAATGAAAACCAACCACCATGCACTAAAATATTTTTAAAAA